TTAATAAAAGCAAGTGGAAAGTATCAGCATATTTGTGTTCTGAACCCAGGATTCCGAATTCCATAATCCATTTCATTTTTGTATAGAACTCGGGTTACAAAGTGATATGTTATGAACATATAAACATTACATTTTAGTGGATGGATAGTAACATCAAAACATGACCAATACATCACTTTTGTGCTAATCTTGTCTTCTTTGTACAAAAGTATTGGGCAAAGAAATACAGTCAAACAAAACTGTTGGAAAATGGACTACATATAGACATTTTAAATTATCACTTTCATGTCAGATAATAGGTCACATTGTCCATGGAGTTGGGTTATAGTCCGACGTAGACGACAAACCAGACATAGTGATCATTCATCTCTTCAACCAGCATTATAGTTTTGCACATCATTCTTCATTTTGACTGTCTATGGGTGCTGGGCTATTCCCACTGGTGGGCCCTACAGAGAATCTAAATTCAAATTTGAATACGACGACAATACCCTTTGTTTCACAAAACATTTGTAGTGACGTCAACTAGTTTGCGTTCCAAGCGTATCAACCTGTCCATGCCTATTCAATCACCTTATCTTAACGATCATGAAGCACGCACGAAAAGCATGTGATGTCACTACAGACATTTTGGTAAAATACAGAGTAATGTACAATGTAGTGTAGGTATACCTATAATACAAAACATGATTTATTTTTAGAATGAATTTGATATAAAACAGCTTTTGCCCAAATAATATTTCTTCAATGATAAACCTGACAGGTGATGTCACTACAGAAGTTGTGATGAAACAAAGGGTATTCATTACTTAAAGCATACACATTTTTTTCCACATAACAGGAAAAGATTAACAATTGATTGCATTGCATGAGAACATGTCTTGTCAAGACATTTAACTCACTCTTTACAAAAAACAAAAACAAACACAAACATCAGAAATTCATAACAACAAACTGAACCAAGGGTAAATTTGTAATATGTCACATTTTCATATATGAACAAAACACTCTTGCATGCACTATCCATTTCAGAACTCTATATAGATTGTGTACATGTATGTAAAACTATAAAACTGTTCAAAACAACACTGGATGAAAAATTGAATACACTCAATGGTATATGCAAGATTGGAGTTGACCAACTCTGTAGCTTGTCACTACAGACGTTTTGGTAAAATACAGAGTAATGTACAATGTAGTGTAGGTATACCTATAATACAAAACATGATTTATTTTTAGAATGAATTTGATATAAAACAGCTTTTGCCCAAATAATATTTCTTCAATGATAAACCTGACCTTCTGTTTCAACTCCTTTTCTGAAATACCAGCCATTCCACAAATTTTGGTCAACCAGCATTTAACTGCAATGATACTGAACAATCAACTTTTTTAACATGTACACTATGAACGGTGAATTGTAAACTGTATATACCTGATCTAACTATTATAATATGATATACTGTTTAATACAGGCTAGTGGTTACATTTTAATACACAACTTACAAATGTATTACAACATTGCTCATACTAGCTACATCAAATAACAAAATGTTATACATATAATTTGAGAGTGCTCTGGTAAGAATATTTTCATGAGGTGAAAGATTAGTTGCACCATACCAGGAGCTGGCGGAACGGCCAATCTTCCACTAAAATGAAAATATTCTATCCGATGAATAAAACATTTATCATTTGTTGTATAACTCATCTACAGATTCCCATCTAAAATATTTTATAAATCATCAGGAAGACAAGATTCAATTCAATAAAAACTATTTTTTTAATGTTCCTTTAGAAGCAGAACCCACACTTATAATTGGCGGTGGTCATCACGCTTGGAATTCAAACCCAGAAAAAGTGTTCTTTGCAGGTGATGTCACTACAGAAGTTGTGATGAAACAAAGGGTATTCATTACTTAAAGCATACACATTTTTTCCACATAACAGGAAAAGATTAACAATTGATTGCATTGATTGCATTGCATGAGAACATGTCTTGTTAAGACATTTAACTCACTCTTTACAAAAAACAAAAACAAACACAAACATCAGAAATTCATAACAACAAACTGAACCAAGGGTAAATTTGTAATATGTCACATTTTCATATATGAACAAAACACTCTTGCATGCACTATCCATTTCAGAACTTTATATAGATTGTGTACATGTATGTAAAACTATAAAACTGTTCAAAACAACACTGGATGAAAAATTGAATACACTCAATGGTATATGCAAGATTGGAGGTGACCAACTCTGTAGCTTATCAAAGCTGACCCATAAGTCGCTGTTTGACCAACAAATTACCTCATACAGTGGCAACTCGTTCTTGCAAACCCTTTTCTTAACACAAAGTTCCAAATAATACAAAGAGGAATTCAATTTCCAAGGTGTTCTTGTAAATTTCATTCTATCCTGATAACACAAACCTAAATCCAAACCCCCACCAACTTTGTGTAAATGAGTTGCTACTCTACACAGTACAGGAACGAAGATGCTTCTGATCCCAGCCAAATGAGGAGATATCAAACTTGAATGGGCATAGTACCTTAACAAGTTTGATCAGATCACAGATTGGAGAAATGCAATGGAGCATCTCATGTTTGCAAAGGGACTTTGGGGCTAACTCTTATTATCTCCCCAGCTGGGTCAACACAAGTGAGCATCATATGTCCCCGTTTAAGCTGAAAACCTTTATACATGGGCTATTCAATTCCTAGGACGACCAGCCGGGAGGTAATAATCAAGGTTGGCCTGCAAAGTCCCCATTTGATCTACACAACTTTTAACATCTTAAAACATGTAATTACCTACAACTTAAGGATGCACCCAGCAACGTCAAAGTTTGCCATACCCTTAAATGATTTTTTTTTATTGCTATCTTCAAACTCTGTTCCATCATGTCAGTAAATTCTGTGATGCTAATATAAACATTGAACCATCAAAAAACTGTTTGTGGACCCTTTTCAGGTTTAAAATCTAACAAAACTACAGATGAAAACTTTTTTTAACGCAAAATGACAGTGTCCGTTTATGCGATGCATGCTACGTGTCCCGTCACATTGCAACACGATGTGCAATATCCGCGCAATCTATCTACGTGACACAACGCCCATGGAAACAGCAAGCAATGTAAACAGATGGTGAGACCATGTGGACGTTTACTCTCAAATCCATATAAATTCAATTGGAAAAAATGTCTAATGTACCATCGGATGCAGCATATTGTCGGCAACCGTATACCAAAGTCAGGATCGAGACACAGGATCTTGGGGTTTTCAAGATGAGATTGAAAATGCAACTGAAAATCCATGTTTCTGCATAAAATCATAATTTCAGCCATTTCATTTTTAATAGTTTATATGAGTTTTGAACCCTCAGGACTCAAAAATAAAACATTTCTGATTTAAGATTTCATACAGAATACATTGTACCTACTAAAATCTAGTAACGTTTTTTTTGTAATTAGGCCCTAGAACTTTTTTTATAGCCCACAACTCATAAGTTCAAACTTGGTTATTATATTTTTGGTACATTGTGAGTTATATTTTGGACACTAGGAAAATAATTTTTTGTTGCAAGGATATTTTATTTATGGTGGTCGAAAAAAATGGGTAAAAAAAATGATAAATTGTTGTCCAAATTGTATGTGTTCAATGGATTTAACAGGTCATTTTCAGCCAGAAAATGTATACCTTTATACACTTCCCATCAATAGTTTTTGAGTTACATACGAGATGAACTATACTGCATAAAGCATGTTGCTGAGTGCATCCTTAAATAAACAATGTTCTTGGCTCAGAAGCTGATCATAGTTTGTCGCAGAAATATACCCCACTTACCCTGCAAATCTTTATACAAACTGTTACACATTGGTCAATGCTCCCTGATAATTGACTGCAACTGGAAAATTATCGAAGCTGGCAAGCTTTGAGTCCACATTTGATCTGTAAAACTTTATTCACAATTTGGCCTTGACTAACTGGGGATCTGATCATAGATGGTACAAAGTCCCATTTGATCTGCAGACATAACTTAATAGAAACACATTGAACACATGATTATGCTTTAATGGTTATCTGGCCCTACCCAATAGCTGAGTGCGAGGACCTGATTAAATTTCACAAAAGGGGCAAATGGTCTACTTTTTGATGATTTTTTTGAAAAAAAGGGTCCAAACTTAGATGAAATTGGACAAGAGTGGTGAGATATTTATAAAGTCTAATAAAGGCCAAAGGTCCATGGTAATTGACCAACAGTCTAAACCCAACTGCTAACCAAGTTGTCTCATAAATCAAAATTAGACATGTTACTTTTTACACAATTTTCAATTTCATGGGACTCTCACCTGGCCTTGACTAATTGAGGATCAAAGGTGGTAGCTATGTCCCATTTGATCTGCAATGTACTTAAAAATCTAAATTTTGCAAGTAGCGGGCCTTTGACGAGTCAAGTTAGCCATAAGTCCCCATTTGACGTGCAAACTTTAGTTTACACAATGTGGATGCTTCCTCATCAGCTGGAACTAGCCAACTGAGGACCTCGATCATCACAGTTGGCTCTTAAATCCAAACATTATACATAGCGGTCCTTTGACGAGTCATCATGGCCTGATCAACTGGTGAGCCAAGTAAAGTTGACCAAAAGTGCCCATTTGACCTACAAACTTAACTTTCACACAATGTACACATGCGGATGCTTCCTGGTAATCGGACCCAAGCCAACTGAGGACCTGATCAAAATTGCCCATAAGTCACTAGTTGATTGCAAAACATTACATACTGGCCTATTTAACTGGGGAGCCAAGCAAAGTTGGCCTAAAGTCCCTATTTGACCTGCAAACTTTATTTTACATAGTGTACACATGTGGATGCTTCCTTGTCATGGTCTAAGCCAACTGAGGACCTGATCACAGTTGGCTCTTAATTCCCAGTTGATATGGAAAACATTATACATCTAGTCCTATCACGAGTCCTATCAACCATGAACCTAATCTAGGGGAAGTGAGCAAAGTTGGAGTTTGACCTGTAACCTTTATGCACATTGTTACACATGTGATGCTCACTGACGTTGACCATCTGGTGATATGGGAGCTGCTGATAAAATTGACCTGTAAGTCATCATTTAAACTGCAAAACGTTAACCTGGCAAACTGGGGCTTATCAAACAACTTTAGCACAAAAGTTCCCATTTGCCTTACAATCTTCTATACAGTATACATACTGTTAGACACAAGTCTACTCCCTGGCCCTGACCAACTGGGCAGGTAATTAAGTTTTTCCTATTAAGTTCCATTTGACTTGCAGAACCATACACTGCTTTACACACAGTATGCTTCCTGCCATGGAGTTAACTGTTAACCTATATAAAGGTGCACCTCTTCCAAAGCACAGCCCTTCATCAAGGAAACCAGTAAGTGGGTTATATGAATAAGAAGCAACCACATTTTACGCATGTCAGTACCTGAAAAGATTTCATCCAAAATTGCGGAGTGTGATGAACATGATTAATTTCACTCATAACAGGTTGAAAATTCACTAAAAATCCAGTGGATTGTCTTTCTAATTTGGTTTCTAATGAAATCTTTGACTGTTGTCCACCTTTTAGAACGACCCAGGTCTGCATCCATCTTGCAGTACTTCATTATTTTTTCTTTACCGGGCAGTTGGCGTGAGCGTAGTTCTTCTTTAAAGTGTCTGTGTATTGCTTGTTTTTCTTCAGCTGTCCAAGATTGTCTGATACTCCTTTTCTTTCTGCTGGCACCACGGTCACTTTCCTTGTTTGCAACTTGGTCACTCTTCTTTCTGCTTTGCTGCGGCATGCTCATACCTTTAATAGTGAATTAGACAAATAAGTAGGGAAACACAATTAATGTTTCAGGTTCAATGACAGATTTAAAAAACTTAACCAAATGCAGAAGATGGTAGCTGAGAGAAGAGTGGAATGGTTATATTTTGATTTTTTTTTTAAAGTTACAATTTACATTACTTTTAGCTAGTTCTTCATTTAAAGCTGTCTGCATTAGGAGTGCCATTTAGCCAGAATTCAAACTAAGCGAATGCTAAAATTCAAATAGTGACACAAGGATAATCACTGTTGAGGGCATCTGGAATAATCAAAGTAAGGATAAACTAGATGGAACTTCGACTGCGCGCATTCGAAAATGATGCCTCCGTCATAGAGCAAGTTTACAAACCAAAACAGAAGAAATTTTTCAAATTCGAATTTCATTGTAATCCATTACAGGTTCTCAGAATATCGTGATTACAAGCAATTTCTCATATACATATATGACCCTTTGATCTTTGACCTCATGACCCTAAAATCTACTCAGTTCATTGGCTCTGCAAGATGTCCTGAATTAAATAGTAATCCATCTGTCAGTTCTAATGATAAAGCTGTTTTTGCATACATAATGAGCCCATGACATTTGACCTTTGACCTCATGACCCATAAATCTACTCAGTTCATGGCTCTGCAAGATACATACATGACCTAAGTTTGGCAGGAATCCATCAATCGGTTCTTGAGATAACGCGATCACGAGCTGTTTTTCATACATAATGAGCCCTGTGACCTTTGACCTTTGACCTTGTGACCCCAAAATCTTATCAGTCCATCGGCTCTGCAAGATACATACATGACCAAAGTTTGGCAGGAATCCATCAATCGGTTCTTCAGATAACGCGATCACGAGAACGGGACGGACGGACGGACGGACGGACAACCCGAAAACATAATGCCTCCGGCTACTTCGTAACGGAGGCCTAACAAAGGATATAACAAAGTAATTCATTCACACCTTCATTTTCTTTGTCTGACATCTCATCCATCAAAACAGCATCATCGGGCCTGTTCACTTCGTTGTCAGGATCATCATCAACATCTGGATCTATGTTGCATTCTGAAAAACAAAAAACAAACACAGATTTAACAAGAGCAGGTGAAAAATAACATACATGTACATTATAATCTTTGCAAGGGTAAGTCATAGCAGACAGCTGTGGATAGTCATCCCTGTTTGCTTTTCATGTAAACAGCACAGCTGGTACCACACAACTACTCTTCAATACAAAGTGTATTTAGAGAGACAATTCTGCAAGTGTCATCATTTTTTTAAACACATGAGTATCCAAAATATATCAAAATATGCAAATTAGCTCATTAAATGTCATGATTATGCAAATAATGCAATGAAAAGCATCACACAACATCTTGGCACCTCAGTCTGTCACCCTACCAGGTTTCAAATGAATCAGGTATAGCGTTTAGCCTGCAGAGCATTTTTTTTAAGGTTAACCTAAATTGCATTGCAAATAAGCTAATTGAAATTCATGAATATGCAAATAATACAGCTCAAAGCAACACATGATATTGTGGCACCTCACTCTATCACCCTACCAAGTTAGAAGTAAATCGGGCATAGCGTTTAACCTGCGGATCATCCTACCAAGTTTGGAGTAAATCAAGCATAGCGTTTAGCCTGCGGAGCATTTTTAGAAGGGTTAACCGAAAACGTTAACCGAATCGGTTAATGGAAAGACGGACATAGATAATTTGGATTAGTATGTGCCACCATGAACGTTCAGTAAGGCGACACAAAAATCAAATCACATATTCAAGTATTTGAAATGTTGCAGCTTCCATATATTGTATCTCGGATCAATTCTTATTAAAACTGGAGGGTACTAATGAAGACATCCCAGTTTGCTTACCAAAAGCATGGAACTTCACAAACTGAAGGATATAGCAAGCATACAAAACTAAGGAAATTATACAATATAAAAACTGTGTTGTATGAGAGTGAAATGAATGATTGAGATGTAACATAAAAGTTTTCTGGCCTAATGTAATCTCAAACTAGAAACCGTTATGATCTCACTAACCAATCAGATATCACTTTAGATAAAAGTAGAAGGAAATGAAAATGGTATGGCATATTCTTAGCCATTCTATCTAGCACAAACACATAAAAATAGTCATACCTTCATCTGCATCTACACGAACATCATCCAACGTCTTTCCTGCCATTGCCTTTAGGTCTCCCTTCTCCATGCTGAAGAGTACTTTAGAAATCTTTGCTACTTGCAGTGACGCATCTGGCAAGCGGTAGTAGGCTCTGTGGGTTCTTATGTCATGGCCCATGAAGGTGGCTAAAATGTCCACTTCATTATCTTCAAATTCATGATCTGAGAGCTGATAGCAATGTGCTTCCTGAGTTTTGTCAATCTAAGCTGATCTGGATACTTTGCTCCACACTTTTGGGCATGATTTCGCACTGGTCAGTTGCCTCAAGTGGCCTCTTCCATCGGGGTTTGCAAACAAGTAGGGATTTCCATCATTGACTACTTGTGACCTTTTCTCCATCAACAAGTCAATGCTGCCTTTCATGTCATCTGTTAGCAAAACGGGTACAGTGTTATTGCATTTCCCATTAATCTCCACCCTCCATACCACATTGCACAACGCCTTTTCCCATTTGGTTAGGCCTTCACCAAATATTCCACCTTTCCTTTTGTGATACACTTGTAATCACTGAGGGGCATCTTTGAAACTTCTCCCGGACGCTTCCTGTTGAAAACACACACCTGGGTCAGGGTAACTCAGCCAACTGTTTCCATCTGTCAAGGGTCTCATCACTACTGCAGCTGTTCAGCTTCTGTTTTCCCTCTTTGTTTCTTTTCTCACAAAATTGGACACAGTGCAACAACATCTGTTGTCAAAGGAAGC